TTCTTTCAAGATTTAACTTTCAATATAAATTCTGAATAAAAATCATAATCATTTAAGAGAATAATTAGTAAAAATAAAATAACATAAACTAACGTAATTGAAGTTCCCAAATTTATTTAACTTCTCAAATCTATATAAGTTTAACTAATGATAATACTGAAATTACATGTGAATGGATAGTTTTTTTGGCAATTATGAAAATACAATTATTTATTAATGTAACAATTTAACAAAAATGATATAAAGACAGGTCAATTTGGATATTTACATGAAGTTTAAAAAAGAAGCTCGATTCTCTAACAATTCAAGAAAGTTATCGATATTCGGAGTGTGATCGTGTCTTTGGATCCAAACGTTTTTGGTGGATGTATCCAAACGGCAACAAGCGATGTGAATCAGAACGATCTGCCAATCTACCGTCAACTTGTCGATCCTCTTCAACTCATCCTTAACTCTGACCAAAAGACTCCAAAGATGGATCAATCCAAACGAAGAAGCTACTTCCAACCTCGATAGTCTCATGATATCCTGCGTCATCCGTCTAACATCCGAATTCTCCAACAAATTAAACTGATTCTTAATTAAAATGTAATCCAATTCCATCGAGGTGAAAAGCGAATCATCACAAGATTGCGGATTTTTCTTAATTGGAAGTGGTAGTATTGAATTATTACGTAACGACATGTCTGCAGCAATGATTTCTAATTGGAACTGAAGGAAATCCTTTCCGGTACGAAATTTATATACCACCAGATGTAAATAACAGAAAAAAGAAAATATCAACAATATTTGAAAGCGTGTTGAATATCATTAAACCTAAAGTAAAATGATTGCAATTCCTTGTGTTTTCCTAGAACTTAATCGTAGCGAGATTAGACTTTTTTTCAAATACGCTTTTTGAATAATGAATCAAAGCAAACTTATCATCTGAATGTTATTAATAACGAATTGTCGTGAAGCAATCTCAGTATTAATTTATCATTATCATAATCCTGTTTATGTCCTTAAAGACTCGACGTGCCTCTCCTTCAGATAACATTTCCTAAACAAGCAAACAATTATTTTCGTTCGAACCTTATGATAATCACTAGGAACGGAAGCTCCAGTTTCGTAAATAAACATAACCGATATTGTTTTCCTACAACTTTCGTTACAAAATCAACAATAAACTAAGGCATCAGCATTTTTTTTTTCAAAACAAACCATTAAAGTATCAGCGTAAACAAATTAATTGCCTATAAACGTTTGAGCAATTAGTCACGACTTGCTTCTAAATTGGATTACGTAAACAAAAATAAATTAAAAAAACATCAATCTAAATTATAGACATTATATAAGTTATTAAGAAATTAATTATTTAATAATTAAAGTATAAAATTAATTTTATTTAGAGAAAAATGTTTACAAATGCTTAGATGAAAGAAAGGTTTGAACCTATGAAAGCTTTTTCTAAAAGTTGATGAACTCTTTAACTTTCGATGATTTAACTGCACAAAAAGCTTACTCATTCCTTGAAGGTATACATAATCTACAGCAATTTTTATACTTGATTGGTTTCCTCATCAATTTTTTTTGTTCCAAATTTTGAAAATTATTTGTTTTTTTAAGCAAATATTCATTTTCCATATATAAACATATTTTCTTCTAAAATTTCGTCTGAAAATCTTTTCTGAAAAGTTTACAACTTTCTCAGGAAAGTACCTGAAAGCGGCACAAAGATTTAAGTCTAAATTAGGGCTAATAAAAATAAGGAAATATTTAACAAAAATAACTTCTACTTATTTGTAAAGAAAAAGATAAGAAACTGTTTTCTTTAAAGGTCTCACAATAAACGCAGGTATTTTTTAAGTAATGCAGGTATTAAGAAAAGTTATAGAATAAACCTTATGCTATTACTTAGTTCGTAAGCATTGGAAGTCCTTTTATGAAATCCTTCGAAAATCCTGTCGTAAATACTTGGAAGGTAGAGTTCGCAGCGAGGATTTGCATGAAAAAGAGATTTGGCAATATTAAAGGAAATGGGCTGTAATAAATAATTTTTAATGAAAATTCTTTTAGAAAAACATATACAAAGGGATTGTATTGTCTTACAAATAATAACTAACAAAAAAACAATACTTATTTTCATTAAAATATGAACAATTAATTTATTTAAAAAATAAATCTTATTAAGTTTTGAAGAAAATTTGTATTTTAAATACGCACAAATTTATGCATTTTTTAATATTTTATATTTATTTAATTCCTTATTAAATTTGGAGTATATTCAAATTATTGTATATAATTTATATAAATTTAAATCATGAATAAATAAAAAAATGCTTTGTTTCAACGCCCATATAGAATTCATAAATATATTAAGATTGACGAACATTCTTTGTGTCTCTAATAAACTTGTACGTTCCATCTCGAAATGGAAATGCATTACAAAATATTCAATGTTATTATTTGAATATTCGCTGTCTACTCATAATTCGAAACAAATAACATTCGTTATGTTATTTCTTCATTTGCATACATACCTACATATGAGACAGGTCGACATGAAAACTCGCTGTTCAATCTGATAAAAATTATTTATTAACTCTTAAGAAAAAAAAAAAGAAGTAATAATATAATACAATAGAAAAATTAGAATACGTTGTGCAAAACGCTTAGGAATTTATTCTCAAGGTCGAATGAAATATATAAATTTTGTTTGTAGAAATGGTAAAAAAAAAGCTCTAATTCTTGTTTTATAAAGCGATTATTGAAAAAAAGTTAATACTATAATAAAATGACGTAATAACTTCATGAGTTGTTGAAGTTATTACTTTTTAGGAAAAATTTGTTTGCACTTAACAAATTCTCGTTTTAAGAAAGATTCATCAAAAAGAGTTAATCCGTAAAAGTTATGAAAGCTTTTCAATATTGTAAAATAATTTATTGTCCATTAAGAAAGAAATAATATAATACAAAAATTAGAATACGATGAGCAAGACGTTTTGGAATTTATTCTCAAGGTCAACTTAATCTCTAAAGTAATAAAAAACGATTCTCAATTTTCGTTTTACGAAAGAATAATCAAAAAATTTATAAAATCTATAAAAGCATTAAAAAATATTTATGAAATACAATACAATATGTAAAAATTGGAATAAGAAATGTGGATTTTGTTTAATAATCGAAAAAGTAAAGTAATAGATCAAAATAGAAGAATTTAATTTCAAGGTCTTTTCAATTTGTAATCGTTGACAGAATTTATCAATAAATTTGTATTATTTTCGACAAAATGTACTTAGTTTTTTTCTTCACATTTGTTTAATTAAGTACATTTTTAAATGTTTAGAAAAATAGTTTTCACTTTACGAATTTTTATTTTACAAACGAATTATTAGAAATAGTTAATATGTAGAAGTAGCACAAAGCTGTTTGGGATTTAAGTTATTAATATTTCCTTATTATATTAGATAAATCATAGATTTGTGAGTTGAAGCAGATGTTATGTTTTTGGTAAATTTAATCTGAATTTACAAATTTTTGTTTTACGAATGAATTATTTATGAATTATTTAAAAAAAACATAATTGGTTAAACTAAGTCTCTAAATATGATTCAATCTAATCAAAAAAATGATTCCCAATTTACGAATTTTCGTTTTACGAATGAATTATTAAAAAGACATAATATTTTAAACTGAAAAATCTGATTCAAAGTAAATAGAAAATTGATTCTCAATTTTAGAGTTTTCGTTTTACGAATTAATTTGAATAATTACATAATCTCTTAAACTTAATTTCTAGATCTAATTGAAACTAATTGATTCTCAATTTACGTATTTTTGTTTTACAAATGAATTATTCAAAAGACATATTTCTTTAAACTAGATCAAATTGAAAGTAGTCAGAAAATTGATTCTCAATTTACGAATTTTCGTTTTACTAATGACTTATTCAAAAGACATAATCTCTACAACTTAGTCTCTAAATATGATTAAAACTAATTTATTACTTTTCATTTAAACCAACACAACTAATTTTTTGTTGTTTAAATTTAGTTTCAAGGTCATTTACTTTTTTTTATATGATTGTAGAATTTAAATTTAGTTTGAAGAAATTGTAGAAAAATCTCTAATTGTTGTTTTATAAAGTGATTATTGAAAAAAGTTAATACTATAATAAAAAGTAATAACTTCAACAACGCATGAAGTTATTATTTTTTAGGAAAATTTGTTTGCTTTTAACAAATTCTCGCTTTTCAAAAAATGATGATGATTAAAACTAATTTATTACTTTTCATTTAAACCAACACAACTAATCCTTTGTTGTTTGAATTTAGTTTCAAGGTCAATTACTTTTTTTTTTAATTATTGCAATATTTTATAATATATTTGAATTTTGCATGATAATATCTTAAATTTTTTAAGATTTTTAAATATGAAAAACTGAAATTCTGAAGAAGATTTGAAAACTAATTGCCAATTTACGAATTTAGTTTGTAAAAGCTTAATAGATGGCAGGATTAAATGACAACCAATATGAGTTGGTACGACTTAACTATAATTATGACATATGTCACTCATCATGTGACATTACATAAATCAATAATACATTTTTTTTAATTAGTTCCATATTGATTACGTGATTTGTTGATTGGATCGGAAAAATAATTTATTACTTTTCATTTAAACCAACACAACTAATACTTTGTTGTTTGAATTTAGTTTCAAGGTCATTTACTTTTTTTTAATTATTGCAATATTTTATAATATATTTGAATTTTGTATGATAATATCTTAGATTTTTTAAGATTATGAAATGACTGAAATTCATAAAAAGATTTTAAAACTAATTGCCAATTTACAAATTTTCATTTTACGAATTTAGTTTGTAAAAGCTTAATAGATGGCAGGATTAAATGACAACCAATATGAGTTGGTACGCCTTAACTATCTTTATGACAAATGTCGCTCATATAGATTATGTGACATTACATAAATGAATAATACATTTTTTTAATTAGTTCCAGATTGATTACGTGATTGGTTGATTGAATCGGATCCGAGTGCTTGTAAAGATGCCCCAAACGGCGTTACGCGGTCATACGAACCACGTGCACACGAACGGCCACGTGAGCAACCACAACGGACACGGTGGTCATAGTGGACAGTCGAACGGTCATCTGCACAACGGATTTGCCCATCAGAATGGTGGACAACACTACATTCCCAACGGCCATGCCAAATCCAATGGACACATCAAAAGTAAGACCACGTCCTGTTTTGTTTCCAGCCATTGTCTCATCACTCGTTCGTGTCTCTCTTTCCCCCCCTCATTGTTTTCTTTTATTTTCACGTGTGCGTTTCCTCCTCTCCAGACGATAATTACTTTAAAATTATATGTCTTATGTACGAGCAGCTCAAGGATTTTTTGCTACCTCTTATGCAATTACCATTATATGGAAACGAAAATAATGATACGAAACGACGAAAACAATGATCCAAGAATGGAAGAGAGAATAAGAAAAAACGTATATTTCGTTTTAAATATATTGTATACACTCGTATTTATTTCATTATTTATAAACAAAATACGTTCAGCACATAAATAAGATGTAGAACTAATTACACTTATTTAGTCAACCTTTAAACCTCATTAACTTAATTGATTTGTCAAAAGAAACTTTCTGTGGAATACAACAAAGTTAAGAAACCGACTAATTACTTCTTTTCATATAAATTTTGACACACTTTTTTTTGCTTAACAATATTTAAATATTTTCAACTATAAAAATTTGTATATATATTAAAAATAAATAAGTTATATGAAAAGATATTAAAACGTATTATTTTGTGAAAGTGTGTACGTACTTCAAGAAAGTAAAATGCAATTATGAGCAACAAATGACAATTAGTGTGATTTATACGTTTAGTAAATTGTTTACTAATAATTTACAAACGTCATTAATTTAAAATAATTGACAATCTCATCTGTGTACAAATGTTTTCTATTAGTTAGTAATAATAATAAAAAAAAAGATTGAGTTTCAACCATTAACATATTTAGTGAAATTTCTTAGAAAATCTCATCAATCTGTAATAATTATATTTCTTTTTTTTGCTCTTAGAAATGTAAAAACAATAATTGCCGACGACATGAATTATATAAGGATTATGTTTGATTTATAGAAGTTATTTTCTTTTACTCAAAAAGAACTAAAGGATACAAGCTTGAATAGTGATAATAAATGACTTCCTGCAGTTAACAATTATTCAAGAAAAATGAAGAAATCAATTGGTGTTTTATACTTTTTCGTTCTAGTAATTAATTTACAACTTGTTATTGGTATAATTTTGCAAATTTTAAACACATATATAATGGAAATAATAATTAATTGAAATAGTTGTGTTCTTTTGGTGATTAATATTAGAAAATAGTGATTAAGTGTATGTTTTTTATGGGAATACTCCTAATGTGATAGTTATTTTCTTAATAAATAATAGAACAAAATAGTTATGTACTTGAAGAATTCTTCTAAGTCTTCAATAAGTTATTATTAATTATATTGAGTTCATTACATTATTACATAAATACGTTCATTTTCATAAGATTCAATGTATCTAAGATAATCTTAACTTTAAACAGATTACTTGGTAATAGACTATATAAACTTGACCTTGATTCTTTACTTACCATCTAAATAGGTACGATAAACACTTTTACTTGTGTGAGAAGTGTACCGTAATTGATTCGAATGAATAACGAAATTGTGTTGAAAAGACGTTAGTCGTTTTCTCGTTGAAATCAATGCCTGTTTCAAATTGAAAATAACATGTGTTTGGTGGAAGATGTAAGGATTTTGAAAAGATGTACAAAAAAAAAAAGAGATGTAAGAATTCGAAGCGCGAATGGCGATAATAAATGGCTTTCAGCACTTAACAATTATTGCGGCGCGAAAGATTCAATTAATATTTATTTCCCTCTGGCTTCTCGAAACGGCGTTATGTGCGATCTCGCACATTGCGAACGGCACTGGTTTTTACAGTTATAGAATTTCGCTGTATGCGAATGAGACGATGCGAAAAAGCAAAAGTCATCAAAACAATATCATCTGAAGAAAGAGATGGAGGAAGAAAAGTGAAATGAGAATTGCGAAGATCATTGTCATTGTGACGATCGAAAGTACAAGATCATCATCTTCATATTGGACTATGTATTATTTATGTAACAGTAAATTGAATGTAGAATTTAGTTGAAAAAAATGTCTGAGTTTAGAGTAAATTGTGAAAATCGTAAGTCCATCATTATTTTACCTTCATATTTTATTAGATTTCTTCACAAGTTAGATAACAGTAAATGGATTAGAGCGTACTTTTTGCAATTAGTTGAAAAATGAGTCAGTTTACTTCTAGAGGAAATAGTGAAGATCAAAAGTCAATAATTACTTTATCTTCCTATTATATCAGGTTATTACGTAACTTAAGAAGACAGAAGTTTTGGAATTCAATGAAAAATAGTGATTTATCAGCTAAAGAAATGATGAAGATTGAATGTCCATAATCGTTTTATCTTCATCTTGACATTCGATAAGATTTTTTCATAAATTACATAACAGTACAAAGATTAGCGTACGTTTTGGAATTTGGTGAAAAATAAAACAGTTTTTTTAGAGAAAATAGAGAAGATCATCATAATTTCATCCACACTTCTTCACAAATTACATAACAGAAATAAAAAATGAATATGCGTTTTGGGATTCGTTAAAAAATAAGGCAGTTTTCTTCTAGAGAAAATCATCATTTGATCTTCACATTGAATCACACTTCTTCACAAATTACATAACAGTACTAAGATAAGCGTGCGTTTTGGAATTCACTGAAAAATGAGACAGTTTTATTCCTGAGAAAATAGTGAAGATCGAAAGTCCTTCATCATTTCATATCAATCTACATTTTCTATTTGACTTTTTCAAAAATTAATTAACAGTGAATGTAACTTGTGAAGATACAAATTACATAACAGTATAAACATTAACGTGCGTTTTGGAATTCGCTGAAAAATGAGACAGTTTTCTTCCAGCGAAAATAGTGAAGATCTAAAGACCTTCATCATTTTATATCAATCTACAAATTTAATTATAATTGTTTTCAAATTAACTAAAAGTGAATGTAACTTGTGAATGTGAATGTAACAAGTTACGTAACAGTTTATAAGTTTGCGTGTTTTATGGAAATTCTTGAAAAATTAGTCATGAAAAATGATGGTCTTTTGATCAACACTTACATCTTCATCATAAGAATGGATCATACTTCTTGTTATTAATTTGTTAAAGTAATAGTGAGTTTCTATGCACAGTAAATGATGAAGTTCGAAAGTCCATCATATTTCATCTCCATAATTAGACTTTATACTGGATCATAATTCTTGAGAAGTTCCAAAACAGTGAAGGAATTAGTGTACATTTTGAAATTTATTGAAAAATGTGTAAGTTGTCAGCAAGAGAAAAAAAAAGTGAATTTCATCTTCATATTGTATCAAATTTTGTCACAAGTTACAAAGTCGTTGAATAATGAATAAATTTAGAACTAGAGAAAATAGTGAAGATCGATAGTCATTTCATCTTCATTGGATCAGATTTATTCACAAGTTATATAAAAGCAAATAAGAAAACGTTGAAAAATAACTGAGTTTCCAGCTAAAGAAAAACGACGAAGATCAAAAGTTGATCAACATGATCTTCATATTGGAGTAGACTAGACACCTGCACCAATTACCAAGCAGTAAATGAATGACGACGAATCGTGTGCGTTTCGGAATTTGCAGAATTTCTTTTCGCTGGATTTCCTTTTCGGTGTGGGTTTCCAGCCCGAGAAAACGTGTGCGTTTCGCGTGTCCGACGACTGTAAAACGCTTCATTAACATATTAATATTATTCTTGTGCAACGCGAAATCATTTCACGTGCGCCGAATGAATAGCAAAGCGCGAAGAACAATAAAATAAAAAATAGATAGGAGGAGGAAAATCGTATCGATTTAATGGAGAATTTCAGGATTTGCAGCCGACACCAAGTATGCCAATGAATGAATAGATTTTGTGGGCGATTCCATGATTGGGTTGTACACCACATTCTGGGAAGAAAAATGACGAGATCATCGGAATTCGGATCGATCCCAGAACGAATCGATTCGATTCTGAATTCTCTAAAAATATTTGTACTGAAAATCGTCGATCCGTGAATTTTGTTGTAAGAAGTTTTTACAAGCATATGGTTTTACGTGTAAACGACGTTTAACCTAAATATTCGAGCAAGTGAATATTTCGTAACTGGATTTGAATAAATAAACTATGCCTACAGTTAAATTTAATGGCACTAAATAAATATTAAATTAATTAAGCGAATAAAGCAGCGACAATGATTGTTATTATTGTATAAATTTGAATACGGACAGTAGTCTATTACAAAACAAAGTGGGATATTTTATTAGACAAGGCGTTACAATAATTTCCAATGTTATTATTGCAATTTCTGAATATCACTTACAAATTAAATTATACATAATCGTTTCTCTTTCACAATATAATGCAAATTATTTGTTACATAATTAATTTTGTTTTATTTAATTCAATAGAATCAAATACAAATTAATAAATTTTTAGTAGAAGAATTTTTTAAATGTCTTTTATTAATTGAATTCAATACAAAAGGAAATAATTTTTTAAGATTTTTCTTATTTTTTCTCTTTTCTCATTAATAGTTATTAAAAATATTTTACCTAGTTTTTTTTATTTAATATTAATACAACATATAAGGGCAGAAAGATCTATGGTCAATAGCCCTTTGAAGCAGTTGATTTATGATATTTATATTATTGTATTGAGTTTTTAGTTTATAATTTTACAGCATATAAATAATTCACTGAAAATTAATTTTAAGAAACTTTACTTAAGAAAAGAAGCGACAAAAACTTGTGTTTAAAGATAACCGTTATTAAGTATTTAAATGCTGAATGTAATGACCAAGTACATTACAAATATCATTTATGAGAAATACAATTTCCGTCTGCAACTGTGGTCTTAATGACTAAATAAAAGTAATAATCATTAAAGAAATGTTAAAATGCATTTATATTAATTAATTTATTTATAAAAATCAAGCTTTGTTATAAGTTACAAAGACGTTGCAAAATTAGTGAATTTCGAACTGGAGAAAACAGTGAATATTTATCATTATTTCATCTTCATTGGACTATATTTCCTAACAAG